GACCGGAAACAATATTGGGCTGAAATAGCGACATCCATGGAACAGGCCTCGAACGTTGGTGACACTCGAAAGCTCTATCGTCTGACCCGCCAAGTTAGCGGTAAGCCCTCTACACTGAGTGACTCTGTTCGTGATGTGAACGGCGGCTTTATTGCTGACAACTCGGCCAAAGTCGAGCGCTGACGTGAGCACTTTGAGCACCATCTCCACTTCGATATCCAACCTACATCGCCCTTGTTCTCCTCCTCAGCGGAGTTTCTTCCCTCTCCTACCTATGCAGTGCCATGCGATCCCCCTCCGAGGAAGAAGTCGCCGATGCCATACGAAAGTTGCGCAACAATAAGGCACCCGGAGAGGACGGTATACCCGCTGAAATCTTTAAGTCTTGTGTCGACACTCTGGCGCCCTGGCTCCATGAGGTGATTGAACGAGCGTGGAGAGACGAGGTTGTTCCTGATGACTGGGGCTTAGGCATCCTTGTACCTATCCTCAAGAAGGGAGATAAGACGAGATGCGAGAACTATCGCGGCATAAGTCTCATCGACGTTGCTGCGAAGATCTTCGCTATTGTCCTACTCAGGCGATTCCAGGCTGTGCGTGACTCAAGGACGAGACCCAACCAAGCCGGATTTCGTGCTGGACGTGGATGCGCAGATCAGATATTCACACTGAGGCGCATTCTCGAATTTCGCCATAGCTACCAACAACCGACGGCCGTCTGCTTCGTTGACTTTGCCGCCGCGTTCGATTCCGTTCACCGTGAGTCCCTGTGGCGGATAATGGCGCTAGATTGTGTACCGGCAAAAATCATCGCCATGATCAAGGCCTACTATCGTTCGACTACTGCGAGAGTCCTGGTCCGTAACAATCTTTCCTAACCGTTCGGTATTCGGTCTGGCGTCCGACAGGGTTGTATCCTGTCACCCATACTGTTCAACTACGCTATTGACTGGATCCTCGGGAGGGCCCTACGCGACAGTGACGGTGTTGAATTTGCACCCGGACATCGACTGACTGATCTCGACTATGCTGATGATATCGCCTTACTTGCTTCAAGTTTTGGTGATCTGCAGTCTATGGTGTCACGAGTGAACGAGGTCGCTAAATCAGTCGGTTTGTCCATAAACGCTGGGAAGACCAAAGTATTCTCAAGCTACATCCCTGACCAGGAGAAGGCACCCCTGGGGATTGATGGGTGTCAACTTGAAGAAGTGGACAGTTTTAAATACCTCGGGGCGCGGCTGCTGCCTAATGGACAGAGTAAGGATGACATTGTCTCCCGAATCGATGCTGCCCGCTGGGTTTTTTCAAGCCTTCGGAAATGCCTGTGGAACCGACGCGACCTCTCCATCGCCACTAAGATTCGCGTGTACCGTGCATCTGTCCGGTCTGTCCTTCTATACGGTTGTGAATGCTGGGCTTTGCGCGTGGCGGATGAGCGAAAACTGGAGGTATTTGACCACCACTGCTTGAGGATCATCCTTCGAGTGAAGTTAACCGACTTCGTCTCAAATGAGATAGTCCGCGCTCGCTGCGACAACATCGCGAGGATAACTCAGGCCATCCAAGAAAGACGACTGAGGTGGTTCGGGCATGTTCTTCGTCGTCCAACTCAGTGTTATGTATGCAAAACAGAAGGCTAATTGGAAATAGGACGTGTACTGAGTACGATAGACAGCACAAGTGAGGAGGCTTGTGGAAACGGCCGGGTATATGGCAAGGGGGACTGTCATAGGCTGATGGGTGGCCAATCAGCACAAAGACGGTGTGAACAGGGGGCCATGACCTTGATCGTTCGTTTGTCACGCTTTTGTGGCATGATGTCCTGACGGCCCGGGCAGGATACGCTGCATTCCTCCACCCTAAAGTGGAGAGCATGAGGGGGAGGGGAGGGGAACAGTATAGGTAATAGTGGATTGTCAGACAATGTTCTAATAAGATTCGTCCTGAAAGCGTTGGACAGGTTTGCGGTTTCGGGTCGATCTTCTCAGGGCGGTATTTCCTACCTCTGCGCCGCTTTGTGCAGTCACTGGCTCCTCTGCTCCTAAGTTAGTGCTGGCCGGGGTAGGAGGAGGTGGAACATAAGCCTCGGTGGATGGCGTAGTGCCCTGTGCAGGAAGTAGGGGCTCAGTCCTCGGGATGTCAGGATCCCTATCAAGGGTTGCTGGCAGTTCTAACCCTCCGAATTCTCCACTTACTGTGTCCGTTCGGATGCGAACTTGGTCCAGATGTCGACGCACAATTCTCCCACCTTCTAACTCTAATTCCACTATTTGACCCTCGCTTTTTCGAACTACCGCTGGACACCAGTTCGTTTCGTGTTCCAGTCGCGTGTAGACACTTTCGTTGGGCGCGACGACTCGTGGTCGGGTGCTCACATCATATCGTTCTTTCATCTTCGTCTGTTTTGCAATGACCCTATCCTGCGTTGATGGATTAAGCAGGTCGAGTCGTGCGCGCAACTGCCGCTTGAACATCAATTCTGCAGGCGAAGCACCCGTTGAGTCGTTTGGTGTTATGCGATAGCTGAACAGAAAGCGTGACAACTTGGTGACCAAGTCCGCTTCTGTCTGTCTGGCTAGTCCGTGCTTTATTGTCTGGACTGCACGCTCTGCGAGGCCATTTGAAGCAGCATGGTACGGGGCAGTAGTTAAATGTCTAATTCCATTTTTCTCCTTGAAATCTTTAAATTCCGCACTAGTAAAGGCCGGGCCATTGTCTGAAACGACCATTTCAGGTATTCCAAAAGTAGAAAAGACGGTTCGCAACTTGTTGATTGTAGTCAGTGAGGAACAAGAATTTCCTGTCGGAATCGCATCAATCCATTTAGTGTGGGCGTCAACTACCACCAAAACCATATGGCCTTGGAATGGCCCAAAATAATCGACGTGTACCCTCTTCCACGGCGAGTCGGGCCAGGCCCAAGGCTTCAGAGGAACCTTCGGTAAGGTCTTCTGTGTTATTTGGCACACGTGACATGCTTTCACCACGTTTTCTAGATCTGCGTCAATTTTGGGCCACCAAACATAGCTGCGGGCGAGAGCTTTCATTCTAACTGTACCAGGATGAGCATTATGCAGGTCTCTGAGGATGGCCCGTCGGCCTTGTGGTGGCACAACTACACGATTGCCCCATAGTATGCATCCGTCTTGTAGACTTAACTCGTTCTGACGGCTGAAGAATGGTTGAAATCAGAGAAGGTAGAGGACGGCCAGCCAGATTGTAAGGCTCTTTTTACCCTACTTAGGAGAGGGTCTCTCGATGTCCACTGTCGAATTTGTTGACAGGTTACAGGCGCGTTGACTAGATTCTGCAAAAGATTCACGGTCTCAAAAACAGGTGCCCCGTTAATGCCATCGTCCACGATAGGAAGCCTACTCAAGGCGTCAGCCACTACGTTTGCACTACCTGTAACGTATTTCATTGCATACGTGTAAGCAGATAAAGTGAGTGCCCATCGTTGCATTCTTGGCGAGGACATCTGTTGTATCCCTCGTTTTTCTCCCAGCAAACCTAAGAGGGGTTTGTGATCAGTGTGAATTTCAAAGTGTCGGCCAAAAAGATACAGGTGGAACCGATGTAGACCAAACATTATTGCTAAGGCCTCTTTGTCTAGTTGCGAATAGTTGGTTTCCGCCTGTGACATGGTTCTTGATGCAAAAGCAATCGGCATCTCCGAACCCGAAGGCCTTCGATGCATGAGAACCGCGCCTACGCCGTACGGAGACGCATCACATTTCAGTATGATAGGCTTTTCGGGGTCATAGTGAACTAGGACAGATGAGGAGGTAAGAGCCGCCTTTGCCTGTTCGAAAGCACTTTGTTCAACCTCCGACCAGTGCCAGCCACAATTCTTTTCAAGTAGTCGATAAAGAGGCTTTAGAATTTTAGCCGATTGATTCATAAAGCGACTAAAGTGGGTGACCAACCCCAGGAATGAACGCAATTGACTAGTATTGTTGGGGCGCGGCGCCGTCTTCAAGGCTTTGAGCTTATGTTCGAGTGGATGGAGGCCAGTTTTATCCACCCTGAAGCCCAGGTATTCTACCGAGTTGGCAAGGAAAGTGCACTTATCTTTCCTGAGTGTAAAACCGGCGTCCTCTAAACGTCCTAACACGATGTTTAGAGTCTCTAGATGACTATGTTCAGATGGGCCGGTAACTAATATATCGTCAAGATATGCGCAAACGTGAGGTATATCCTTCACGAGATTATCAATCAAGCATTGAAATAAGCCGGGAGCCGAACTTACTCCAAATGGTAGTCTTTTATATCGAAATAAACCCCGATGCATATTGATGTTGGTGGCGTCTCGGGATTCAGTATCTACGACGACTTGGTTGTAGGTATGCTTTAGGTCCAAAGTTGTAAATTGATGACCACCCGAGAGAGATGCGTACAGATCCTCGATGCGCGGGAGAGGATAAGGGTTCAGTTTAGTTGCTGAGTTGATTGTCAGCTTGTAGTCGCCACAGATACGCACAGAACCATCGGTTTTAAGAACAGGAACTATTGGAACTGCTCATTCCGAATATTGCACGGGCTCAATAATATTCGCTTTCTGTAGGCGATCCAGCTCTTCTTCGACCTTCGGTGCGAGTGCATAGGGGACTGCACGAGCTTTGAAGAACCGGGGCCGGAAATCTGACTGAAACTGAAACTTAACAGGTGGACCGCGGTAGTGGGTAGCTGAATCGTCACGAAATAGATCCTTATGATTTACCAAAATTGAATCTAAAGCCGGATTTACACCAATCCGATGTACATAGGATAGCACAGAAGGCACACATTTAATCCAATTTCGTCCAAGGAGATTCGGTTGCTGGCTTTCTCTCGCCACATGAACCGGCAAGTAATGAAGTTCTCCATCATGTTCGACTTCGGCTGTAAAGACCCCTCGAACGTCTACGTTCTGTCCAGTGTAACTACGGAATGTTGAGCTAGCCGGTAGGAGGGAGGGTACTTTCTGAAGAGAGGCCTCATTGATGAGAGTAACAGCTGAGCCAGTGTCGATTTCAAACTTCACGGGATTGTGATCAACCGGAAGCGTGATGGTGTAGGGGGATTGGAGAGTAGCGTTGGCCGGAAACATTCGGAGTATCGCCTCACCATCCCCAGCTGGACTAGGGTAGGTCGCATGCGTGTTACTATTCGCTCGTCTTTTGGAGAAACACACTCGTTCGATGTGGCCGACTTTCTTGCAAAATTGGCATACCGTCTTCTGGTGTCTACAGTCTGACCACCGGATATGATGCTGGCCACAACGGTAGCATGATGGTAGTTGTTTTGAGGGAGCTGAGGGTCGCTGTCTAGGTGAAGACACAGCAGTGTTGACCAGGGAGACAGCCATTTCCGATTCCAAGGATGCTATCACTCCATCGTTTGACTGATTCAGCTGCTGAAGGTTTTGCCGCACGCGCTCCTGATGAATGGCAATATCACAGGCTTTCTCCCATGACAAATCCTTCTTCTCTGATAAGAGATTTTCCCGAGCTATTTCATCACGTAGACCGACGATCAACTGCTGAACGAGCATTGCGTGCTCGAAGTTGTCTGCCTTGATCTCTTTATACCCACAGTCCTGAATGGCCAGAGTCAGATTAGTAATAAAATCACTGACACATTGATTGGATTCTTGACGCATTTGACAAAACCGATAGCGACTGAGAAAGACGTTGTCCTTTCCTCCCCACGCTGACTCGAGTTTTGAGAAGGCTGTTTGGAGATCTATAGCTTTTTGTAGATTGAGGGCATCGAAATATCGTTGTCCCAACTCTCCGAGATTCGTCCGGAGGAGTTTCAACTTAGATGGGACGTCTAGTACAATCGTGGGTGACAAAATCGGGAGTAGTTCAATATAATCCTCAAATGTCTTCCTCCATTGCAACCACGAGTAATTTGAGGGCTTCGGGGTGTTCTTTGGCCAAAAAGGTAGTGGTGTAGGCAGCAATGAAGACATGTTCGTTAGGCTGCGTCGCCAATGTAATGTATGCAAAACAGAAGGCTAATTGGAAATAGGACGTGTACTGAGTACGATAGACAGCACAAGTGAGGAGGCTTGTGGAAACGGCCGGGTATATGGCAAGGGGGACTGTCATAGGCTGATGGGTGGCCAATCAGCACAAAGACGGTGTGAACAGGGGGCCATGACCTTGATCGTTCGTTTGTCACGCTTTTGTGGCATGATGTCCTGACGGCCCGGGCAGGATACGCTGCACTCAGGAGCTCAGTGTTACTGCCCTCGACCCGGCACCGTTGCTCCATTGGAGGCGTCGAAGAGGGTTCAGTTCAAAACCTGGCTCGACACTGTCCGTCAAGACATGGAGGTGGTTCTTGGACCTTCGGTATTCGGTCTCCGTCGTTGGCAAAGGGAATGGGTTGAGCTGTCTAGATCTGCTGCCGCGGATCGTCACGCGTGGAGAGGTACAATTCGCGACATCATCGAGGCCGGCTAGATCCGGCATGATCGCAGCCGTATCAAGTAAGTAAGTAAGGATGAGGTATTTTATTATTGTACAGGGGTGCCCCTATACCGTGTCCCTATCTTCAGGCAAGTGTCTCATAGCGAAAATAAATAGCATTGGTCGAAGAGAGGCATGGCCTCGAAAGTGTTGTTACAAAGCGAAACAGAATAGTAGCTTTGACCAACATTATGAAAGTGTCCTTATGTAGATGTACAGTACAGAAAACATTATGGTACGCATCTGCACAACGGCGCCTTTAAATGACCTGCGTTGCTAGTTCAATATAGCTCTTATTACTTTGGGATGCCGTGTAGGGTTTGTCAATAACACACGGACGGGCACTAGTAAAGCATTTGTGAACGTTAGCTGACGAAAACGAAACACTGCGTGAGATGACATTATATGTGAAATTGCTGGACATTTCCGATTATCCAGTTAGCCGCAGCTAGCCAGTCTTTTATATTTGAATGACAGCAACTCAGACCAGTGCATTATAAAAGAACCGCTGCATTTATAGCAGATGAGACGTGTGTAATGGATGTACGTCGGGGCTACAGATACGGGTAGGTGGGCACTGTCATGAAGTTGCAAGTGACCTACGATGCATATGCGTTATCAGACAGTGCGGTTGCAACTGCCACACGTTGGAATTGACTATACAGTGTTGGTAATAGAGGCAGTGGCAGTAATGGTTTGTAGGTCGGGGCGAGGGTTTTTTTTTATTGATGTCGCCATTAGTGGTGATTTGCCGTGAGACGGGAGACGGCACGGTCGTCCTGATGATGTGCTGGGTTTGCGGACATCCAACGAGGCTGGTCTGTACCTGGGAAGTCAAGTCACTGAGTGGGGACGATGATAGAATTTAATACTGATGTCCTTAGTCCATAGGGATCATTGATCCGACGTGACGGACGAACCAACCAGTGGCACCAAAACACATGAGATATAGCGACAGGCACTCCAACTACACTTAAAAGCCTGTAGCAACTATCTTTATCCCCTCTTCGATCAAACAATTTGACTTTGCGACGCCTGATACACATACGCTTTTGCCAACAAAACGCTCGCGAAAGGCGGGTTAATAGCAATGTTTACTTGTTTATATGCTTACTTGGGTAGACCGCTCTAACTGAAATTACGCTACGAATTTGAGCATGGTGTACTTTCCGTGTAGGTGAGCTGGGGGTCGGTTGGCGGGTATTGACAAATATTGCTGAAAAGGTACGTTCTACAGCCCCTCGCAATCAGACAAAACTAGGTTACATTACGTGTAGGAACATCGTGTTAGATTAATATTGCAGCGGTTCTTTTATAATGCACTGGTCTGAGTTGCTGTCATTCAAATATAAAAGACTGGCTAGCTGCGGCTAACTGGATAATCGGAAATGTCCAACAATTTCACATATAATGTCATCTCACGCAGTGTTTCGTTTTCGTCAGCTAACGTTCACAAATGCTTTACTAGTGCCCGTCCGTGTGTTATTGACAAACCCTACACGGCATCCCAAAGTAATAAGAGCTATATTGAACTAGCAACGCAGGTCATTTAAAGGCGCCGTTGTGCAGATGCGTACCATAATGTTTTCTGTACTGTACATCTACATAAGGACACTTTCATAATGTTGGTCAAAGCTACTATTCTGTTTCGCTTTGTAACAACACTTTCGAGGCCATGCCTCTCTTCGACCAATGCTATTTATTTTCGCTATGAGACACTTGCCTTAAGATAGGGACACGGTATAGGGGCACCCCTGTACAATAATAAAATACCTCAACCTGGTTTGGGCTCCAAGACAACCTAAGGTATATTTGAGATCCGTGGCTGGAACGAATCAAAACGCATCTGAGATTTTCATTAAACTTCGAAATCAGCGGTCCTTTGACCCCACACGCACACCTAATCCCGGAGGGAATCGAGGACAGATGTCGCCGCAACTCCTGACTGACCGCTTCAGCTTCCATCCCATGGGGAGGATGTAAGGGAGTCCTCATCTTCCCCGAAGGCGGGACTTTGGTGCTAGTGACTATTATGACAAGCAACCCAGAACTGAGCTTCTCAGAGGCCACATTTTCTAAAAGTTGGTAATTTAACCAAAGCCGGAGTTGCAACCAAGACATCTTGTTTAGCTTCACATACCCCTCATCCAATAATAAAACGGAAAAACTTGAAATAGAGGTCAAATTTGGTGCTATAACTATTCTGCTCCATTTGATGAACATTACACACGCCCGTCCAATCACACAGCTAGAAGTAGCCCAATATCAGTGAGGTAAGGCTAGTTTATTTTGAGGAACTGTAAAATGACAGTAGGTGGTGGGAGTCATATGTGCAGGGGTGGGGTATTTCTGCGACATGTCATGCAAGAGAATTGGTTGGAGGCGCACCTCTGTACAAATCTCCAGGCAGTCCGTTTTTGTACTGGCAAAGTCAGGAAAGGAAACGTCGTCTGCGGGTCAAACTCACTTAAATCCAGGAGGCCGTGTCGCGCCACACGAACTAATTAGCAGTAGTGTTTTATGTTGGTTGGGTTTTTCAAAGAGCGTTGACGAGAGGCACTAATTTTAAGCTCATTTTTGTCGTAATACGTTCTTAACAAAGTTGCAGTTGCTCTTTGGGGTGCTGTTAGATGCTGTTTTATATATCCGCCTCCTCTTTGCTGTTGTAGTAAACATTTCAGACTAAACAACACAACCTCTCCACTCAATAAGACAGCGATAAACTTAGTACACGAGCTAAGAAATGTCATCTCTCAGAAAACAACACCGACGTACGGCGTCTAGACATGGGATCATTCAGCATGCCCGGACGTATGTTTAGTAAGCTCTTGTGTGTGGGCGCCTTGGTCAACCCATATACTTCCGAGACTTCTGTTGTCGTTTATTAGTTCAGCATATGCAGAAATCTTATGCAATGCATTCCATAGTCGACGGTGAAGATTTATAGCATTTCGCGATCAAATCAGGCCCTTCACGTACCTCAAAAGCGTATTCATTGTGCACTTCGTTGCCGGCCGCCCTGGTGGCAAAGTTGGATTCATAGGAATTTGCATGCATGCGTGACATGAAATGTTCCTCCGTGCTGCTACGCGCGTCAGGATGTAGCCACTTTCCTGGCTTTCAAATCCGATAGCGACCACACTACTGGTTTTGGGCGCTGCCACTTCTGTCATGTCAACGTTCTGTTATCTGACAGTTCGGCCATAGTAAGCGGCAAAAACCACCACTATCCTGCGGCCTCAGCGCTAATTTGCGTGTGAACGCGTTTATTGTGATGCCGATTAGTGCAGCGTTTACTTCCTACTCAACTCC